GTGCATATTTTTACTTTTCTTAAATTCGCTAAGTTTCGCATGCTGCTCTTTACCTGTGCCTGTTGTATGGGCTATTTAAATGAACAATTTCTTTATGTTTCGGGGCTTGCTCGACAAATTGGTGTTTGATAGTGACAGGAACTGGTCAAAAGACCTGGGTTGTTTCCGGGCATGAGAGCGAAGCTTAGGTTGCGTTTGTGGCTTGAGTTCGCGGAGTGAACTTCTATCGTGAGCTGGGTGTTCTGCCTTTTGTGGTACGTTGGTGACAGCGGGCTCGGTCGAGGGACCGCTGTCGGACAAGGGGTTTGTTCGTTCTAGAGAAAAAGTCTGCCTTGATTCATTTTAGTATGCAACGCTTATACCGGGACACACATTTATGGTCGGTACATTATGCTCGTCTTGTCGACGGAGCACGCCGACAGTTGTGGCCTTAGCCATAATATTATCTTAACTTTTCGGTATTCTGTGGTCGAGCGAGTTTTTCCCCGTTGAGAAGTTCTAGGTAGTAGGCCTCATTCTGTATTTTTGTTCAAATATGATATGGCCCTTTCCAATTTGCGTCGAGTTTGCCTTCATGAGAATCTTTGTGATTTCTCCTTAGGATGAGACTGTCCACTTGGAAGTCTCGTCGTATGACTTTGGCGTTATGCCTAATTGCAATTTTTTGTTTTAATGAATCCTCGTGGAGGGCAGCTCCTAATCGGACCTCTTCGACGAGACCAGACTCCTTCCTTAGTGCCTCACTATTGTTCTCCTCGTCCAGGGGGGCTTCAGTCCACCTGGAGGGCACGTGTATTTCGATAGGGATTACTGCCTCTGTTCCGTATGCTAAACAGAAAGGGGTTTCCCCGGTCGAAGAGTGGGGCGTAGTACGGTAGGCCATAGTACGTTGTACAGCTCCTCGACTCATTGTTTTTTGATTTCATCTAGTCTCCGTTTGAGACCTCGTAGGATTACCCTGTTGGCTGCCTCGACTTGCCCGTTCGTCTGCAAGTGCTCGACGGACACAAAGTGTTGTTTGGTGCCCAGTTGGGCGACGAACTCTTGGAACTTTTTGTCCGTGAACTGTGTCCCATTGTCTATGACGATTTCCTGGGGGATGCCAAAGCGAGCAAGGATGTTTCGCTTGTAGAAGTGGAGTATGTTTTGGGCCGTTATTTTGGCTAAAACCTCTATTTCTATCCACTTCGTAAAGTAGTCCACGTCTACTATCAAGTATTTGTTCTGATTTGACCCTACGAAAAACGGTCCTAGGATGTCCATGCCCCACCATGCGAAGGGTCACGGGGAGGACATTGCTTTGAGCTCATTAGGAGGTGTCAAGTGCATGTCCCCGTGACGTTGGCATTTGTCACATTTTTTCACGTGCTCCTTTGTGTTGTGCTGCATGGTCGGCCAATAATATCCTGCTCGTAAGGCTTTCCTGACGAGGGATCTTCCTTTGAGGTGTTGGGCGTTGATCCCTTCGTGGATTTCGCGCAGGACGTGGACGACTATTTCTTCCTCAACGCATTTGAGGAGAGGAATGAAAAACCCTCGCCTGTAGAACTTATTTTCGACCAAAATATAGAAACAGGCTCTGCGTCTAACCACGCTGACTTCCTTTGAGTCGGACAATAGTTCGTCCTTGGCAAGATAGTTGTAGACTGGTCATCCAGCAATTAATTTATATTACTATTTATGTTTTTGAGATAGTTAATTTAAAAATAATAATTTATTTTGCAAATTAAAACCAGTTATAACAAGTAAAAAGACAATTGGCCTATGATGTGATAATGGCCATTTTTGTGGCAGCTTTGAATTTAAGAATCTAAAATTATTATTAATCGAGGAAACAAATCTACAAATTAATTACCACTATGAAGCTTGAGTTTATTTGTTTGCTTATACCTCGATTAAAATAAAGACTTTATTTAAGATAAATGAATTTAAATTAACTACCACTGTGAAACTTGAGTTTATTGGTTTGCTTATACCTCGATTAAAATAAAGACTTTGTATTTTAGATAGATGAATTTTAACAGAAAAAAAAAAGTGAAATATGATGATGCGTATAAAGAAGATGAAATGTTGAAAAAAAAATGACTAATATATTGTTGAAGATTGTATTATTATATCAAGTCACTCTCAGGTAGATGATCAATCATCTAGACCGTCCAAATTAAATATTAATATATCAATGGCTTAAAACTTCAATTCTTCATTATGTGCAAAAATCGATTAACTCAGACTAAATGCAACCAACAAAGACATGTACAATCAAGGCTCATTTTCAAAACTTTTACAAAAGAAATATACACTTCACAATATATATACTCAAGAGTAGATATCTACATTAATGTGTGCATACATCAGTATAAGAGTACAACACACAAAACATGAATATGTATAACACAAAAAGAAAATAACTATCATAGTAAGGAAAGTGACATAATCTGTATAGAAGGTCCAAACCTCATATAGTAAACAAAGCCCTCCACTAATTCTAAATTATAAAAGGCAAAGCACTAAGAATGCTAAAAAGAACTCACATACAGAGGAACATCAATGATTGCTCATCAAAAACAAGATGCATCATCTTCAGGAATTAAAGTAGTCCTACAAAGTGGACATGCAATGTTCCAATAGTCCAACCACTTCTCCAAACAAACTTTATGGAAAAGATGGCCACAAGATAAACAGTAAAAAAAACTGGGCAGCAAAATGATAACCAAGCTCACGGAATGAACTCAACTAATGCACTCAAGCAGCAAGAACATTTCAACATAATTCAAAAACTTGAATAAACTAACGTTTAGCATCAAAATGCCATTCAAATCATGGACACTCCATTGCAGAGGAAACAGGACACAATGCAAAACCTAGCTTTGCTCTTTCAATAACACCGAGTTATAACTATAAGTCTATAACAGTATCACCATATAATTTCATGCTTTATTTCCCTTTTGTAGAATCACAAACTTATTGTAGTGGAAGCAGATGGAAACTACATGCACTCGTTCTCAGCCGCTGACGTAGACATCTACTCAGGTGAAACCTAATCAGTACTTCTCACAATAGATCAACAAAAACTACTGACTTTCAGTTGGTGTTGGAGGAAGAAAACCAAACACATCACAAGCCTTAACAATCCTTAACTACAAAACAATCTCAGCCTCAGTTTTCCCAACTTCACCACCACCAATAACTCCATTAAGGAACAATTTCGAACGTAGCAAAGCGTACATCAAGGTGAGTTACTACGATTTTAGTATTAGTAAGAACTGCATCTTATCACTATAGAACCTACCTCTCAAAGCTAGCTAGCTCTTTCAATAACACTACAAGTCTATAGCAGTATCACCCTTCTTCAGAAGAAACATTTAAAGCCCAAATCAGAAGCTTTCAAAGCATAAAATTCCAAAGTAAGAACAAACATTCCAGCCTAATCCCATAATTATCACCAAGAACAAGCAAGCCGAATAGAAAAGTAAAATAAGTGCAACCTACATGTTCGCTCGTCTGACCGATAAACTAGTCAGGTCGCACCATTTTCAGTGAGTCAATTGCATTTCTGGTTTTTCCTTTTCAACCTGCCTACCCTTCGGTTCTCAGTTAAACCTAGTTTTAAAACACTGTCAAAACCTAACGAAGAACAAGAAAAAGAAAGCAGAAGAAAAGAAACTCATTACAATCTCACATCATGAGAAGCTATTTACCATATCTACTGCTTCCCACAGAACATGCTTAATAACAAATAAGATAGCATACATTACAAACCTATGAAAGTGATATTGTACTCATCAATAAAATACTACACCACATGTTCAAACACACTTTGTACAAAACAAAAACAGAATATTAAGTAATATTTCAAACATCAGAGACACTTGGGAAGCCTTCTTCATGGCCCCTCCCTACATCCACTTCTTCCCAAAAATGAGCCTCAACTTAATTGGATTACAAGTTACAACTTTCATACCCTCAAATTCTAATGAACATACAACTATCAAGCAAACATGCAAAGGACAAAAAAAAACATCCCACTAAAGAAAGAGTAAGGACTATAAGAACTGAGGAAATTGAATACAAAAAGTCCTCTAAAAGTCTGAAATTTTCAAGTGAAAGAAGGTTTTCACTAAATAAACTCTAATAAAGATTGAATGAAGGTAAGTTTTAATACCAGTAAATAAATAACCCCTGGATAGAATTCTGTAAACATAAAAGCTATAAGGACACTAAGAATAGTTGAAAATTCAATGAAAAAAGAGAGCAATGACCAAAGTAACATGTCCGCCTTCGAGCAGCCATTTGCAGACAGAATGAGACAGCAAACTATAGATTGTTTAGACTAGGGAATTTCAGTAAAATCCTTCTAAAACTATTAGTTAAACTTAAAATAACACTTGTTATCAAAAAGCCATGAAAGACATCTCCCTCTTCAACCAAAATACAAAACTTAATCTTCAGGAACAGAGGGCCACTTTCCAAATCAAGAAACTACTTACAAGTGTAGCTATATTTTGAGAATAAGTTTTATATAAGAGTAACCTCAACAAAATCAAGTAGTCCAAATATTTAAGGAATTAAGTTAACAGAACAGAAAAAGGATTATAAATCCAAGCAAATCAACCACCACTAGTTCAAGACGTTCAAGTAGTAGTTGACACAATTTGCAGAAGCCATGAACCTATACTAACACCTCACACTCATTCTGAAACTTGTGTAGCCATCAACAGGAAATTTGACAAACATACAAGTTACTTGACTCCAATCTTAGAAAACCAAATCAGCAACCATATAATACTAACAAATAAATTAAACCTAACACAACAATGTCTCATGCTGCAAATTCCATCTACCAATAACTAAACAATAAACCATGAAGGGACCAGTAAACATAAAATACATAACACAAACGGAAATCAACATAAAAGTTGCAATGAGGAGTTGAAGAATCCAGTAGATGGATTCTTGATACACAAGTAGCATAACATATTACCTAACATACATGTTAGTATTTAAAAGCAAGGTGACATCAAACTCTCATGGTAGACTTCTGAACCCATCCATTTGCCTATGATTTGAATGCCGGGATCCTTAAAAGTACCATCTCTAGAATTGTAAACAACCAACTCTGCTAGCTGAATATCAAATAGCACTTGATCATCCTGAGAAACATAAAGTGCAGAAACATGAGGCCAAGTACCAAGATTTCTGGTGTGAGGAAAACGGAACAATTTAGTCCAAGAATCTTTATTTCCATACTCTTTCATAAGCCAAACATCTGAAAATGTATCACTACTAGAAAATATGCAGAAGCAGTCCCTCAACACCCCTGTGTTTAAACTAAGCAGATTTATCTCTCCATAATCAGGCTGCGGTAGCTCTCTGTAAAATTCTTTCTCCAAATCAAGAGAAATAATGACCCAACATGACGAACAATTCTGTCTATATGATAACCAATTAATAGTTCCACTAAGGAATTTTCCAGATTTATCCAAAATGAGAGTATTAGGAGGGAAGCCCGAAATTCTTCTCCAAGAAGTGGTTCCCAAAGTATGAACTTTTACTACATTTTTGCAATTGCTAACAGGACGGTCGTCAATAGCATTGTGTGGAAAACAAACGACAACAACCTTGTAACTGTCACTGAAATCATCATAGCCAAAGGAAAAACAGAATGTTGTGCGATATATCTCTTCCAAAGAGGGCAGTTTCGTAAATTTTCTAATGGAAGGATTCCACAAAAAAACGACACCTTTATTGATAGCGAAACAGAAGCTGAGGCAGAGGATGCCGTGACAAGATCCAACAATGACAGCGGAATGGTTTTTATATTTGAGAGGGTACTCTACCTGTATGGCGGAGGTCGTCGCTTCTGTGAAAACGGAGGAGAGCGGGTTAGCTATGACGACGAAGTCGAGTGAGGGATTCCTGAGCGTTAACATGAGGCTCTGACTCGCGTGACGAAGGTGCTTCTTGGCGAATTTGGGATCGGAGATCAGAGATTTCCAGGACTTACAGACGCATTGGAATTGCATGAGGAGCTTCACGGGAAGTATGGAGAGAATTTCTACCACAATGTCGAATGGAAGAGCTGGAAGTGGCATCGAATGGAGAGAATCTTCAGAAGATGGTGATGGTGAGGTTAGGGTTTCGATGGAGGACCTCAAACGCTTGGAGGCGGTTGTTTCTGCCGTCAGTGGATTAGGCGGAACGACATCGTTTCCGTCATCGGTGTCGCTACTCAGCGCCATTCCTTGCTGAGGAAGATTAAACATGGGTAGTTTGGGAAATAGTGGAGTAACTTGGTTATTTGAAAAACAGGGTTATTTCCATAAAATACATCTCTCTCGTTTGCCTGTTTTATTTTTAATTGATACAAAATTTACATTTCCATAGAATTACAATTTATTTTTAAAAATATATATTTTTATGATAAAAAAACTGAGTAATTTAAAAAATAATTAAAATATTTAATTTAATAACATTTTATATAAAACACAAGATAAATTTTATGAGGAAATATCAGATGTATTAGGATTTGATCTCAAGATAAGAATGTTCAAATTTTTTAAGAAATCAAAGAGACATTACTCAGGCAAGGCAAAAATATATATCTTTGCGCTAAATTTCACATAACACGTGCAAATTAAGAGCGAAAAAATGATAGATAAATATTAGGTTTTCGAGACCATGAGAAGGTAAATGGTATATCGAATGCTACGTTGTCGTTAGTCATAACTGACACCATTGTGAACCATGTCGTATCAGGTCTTTTAATAAATGATGTACTTGGAGATCTTCAGGAGGTTAGGTGTACGGATGCAAGATCTAAAACCATCCGAAGACAGGAACCTTATGACATTCAATGATTCCACTACTCAACCATGCAGGGTATAGTTTGGATGGTTTCACTCGAGAAGGAGAAGACGGAAGAAGAAGTAGTGTGTACTTCTAGTAGTTACTTGTGAAAACGTATCCAACGACATCCTTTGGAGGCCCTTCTTAGCAGCATTGAATGTGGTGGCCTCTCTGGTCCACCTTAAGATGAAATACCATAGTAGTGGTGGCAAGCCGGTTAAAATTTATGTCAAACTGTGAGGAGCTCGTCGCATACATGAAGAAAGCCTTAGAAGACTGAGCACCACTTCAGTGGTCGCGGAGACACACTAAAGGAGGTTAATGTGGCCGATCTCGACACCCGAAAAGATGATGACAATCTAGACGAAAATGTTTCGCTCACTAGAGCAAAGGCTCTAAGGCTAATGTCGGGCGGAGAATTTGAAGATATCCAATTCGATGACAATCCTTTTTGGTCGGTAAAGATAGGTGACAACCTTTTAGTTGAAGTAAGAAAAGGGGTTATTAGATGCCTAAAAGCCAACACTGACATTTTCTTTGTTTCACCACACGAGATGCCTGATATTGACCCGAGCATGTTGTGTCACAAGTTAAACTTTGATCCAAAATCCTGATATTTCTCTCAGCAAAGGAGGCACCAATCCTCTAAGAAAGGCAACACGACAACCAAAACAGTTCAAGGGTTGGTGGATGCCAATTTCATTTCCAAAGCAAGATACACTGAAGGGCTCTCTAACATCCTACTAGTGAAAAAATCTTTGTGGAAGTGGAGAATGTATGTAGATTACATGGATCTTAACCGGGCAAGCCCTAAAGATTCTTATCTCATGCCAAACATCGACAAATTGATGGACAACTTGGTCGACTATAAACTTTTGTCCTTCATGGATGCGTATTTTGGTTACAATCAAATATCCATGTACGAATCAGACTGAGGGAAAATGACCTTCATGACTGAATGAACAAACTATCAGTATAAAGTGGTGCCTTTTACGCTAAAGGGGCAACATATTAGAGGACGATGAACAAGATCTTTCAGGAAGAAATAAGGGAAACATTAGAGGTTTATATGGATGATATGATTTTAAAGTCCAACGACGATAACCTACATCTCCAACACCATTGCAGAGTATTTTAGAGGGTTTGATAGTATAACATGAGATTAATAAAAGAAATATTTTAAACTTATTTTCAACATTTTTGTTATGTTGATAAACATTTTTTAATATGTTGTTTTACTTGATTTTTGACTAAAAATATGATTTCATATTACTTTGACAATAAAAATCACAAATCAATTTAAAATATAACTGCAAATTGTTAGTGATTTTAGTATCATCAATGTATTTTAGTAGTAATGTGATTTACTATAGACCGATGCAATTATACGTTAAGCTTGAAAACGAGTTAGGGTAGTGCGGAGTGCACGCTCGTCAAGTCAACGTACAATTGAATGCGAATAATTGAAAAGGGGTTCCAAGGGGCGGAGCCCCTGGCGGGGTGCGGGGCAGCGCCCCGCTGGGGTTCTAAGGGGCGAAGCACCTGGCGGGGTGCGGGGCAGCGCCCCGTGGCCTCAGTTTTATACACTGAACAAAATTCATATTCTCTCTACATTCTTGATTTGTTTTCTATTGTCAGAAACAGATTGTTCTTCAAAGAATTATCCCTACAAAGATTTCGTGAACCCAGGCAAATAATAGAGTCGAAATACTTTGTTCGGAAAGTGTACAAACACGATTTCTCGAAGATATCCAAGATTATCACGCCAAATTTCCAACACAAATCGATTAAAAAAACACAAATTAGTCAACTATTATAATGTATAGCGTTTAATTAAAACTTTCACACACAAAATGTATCACCGACTAACATTCATTTTACAAAACAAATTTCAAACGAAGTATGGTATTTTAAAACTCCTTCAACTTACATGTTCTTCATCGTCAAAATTAACCTATGTTAGATGTTATATCTACGAAAAAAAGAAAAAAAAATTAACACATGCACAAAGTATTCAAAATAAACCGAGAACTAAAACCCTTAAATCTTGAAATAAGCCAATCAAGTTGCTAAAAACTGAATGCAATGCAGAAGCAGCAAAACTTTAATTATCACATAGCACCACAATCTCTATTACAATGAAAAAGTATTTTAAGCACATACACATAACCAAATTATGACATTATATGGAATAGTATGTAGTCAATTAAATGTAATAAAGGGTGACATTTACTGTATGTTTGTTTTAACTTTGAAAAAATAGATTTTGTTTTTGTATTTTTAAAAATGGATTTTGTAAAACTGTCTTTTAAAATATTACAAGTTTTTTTTATATTCATTTTTTATAAATTGAAATATTAAGTATGACATCATACAACATAAACATACATTATTGAAAATTAAAACATTGTCGAAATTGCAATTTTTGAAAAAAGTTGTATCTCAAAAATGATTTCCCACTAACTTGCATTCTTTTCCTTCATCAGCTGCTGGAAATAAAATGCCATAGTCGATAGTTCCTTTCAGATACCTCAGTATCCTCTTCGTCGCTGCTAGGTGTGATACCTTTGGCTTCTGCATGAATCTACTTACCATACCAACACTGTATGCTAAGTCAGGCCTTGTGTGACAAAGGAATCTAAGTGACCCAATAAGTCTTCTGTATTGGATTGGGTCGACATCATCTTCATCTGAATCCTTTGACAGTTGCAATCTGGGCTCAGCTAGAGTCGAAGTTTGGTTGCAATCTTGCATCTCAAATCTCTCGAGTATTTCGCCTGCATATCTTCTTTGATTCATCATCAAACCTCTACTTATCTTGTAGAATTCGATGCCAAGGAAATATGAGATATTTCCCAAGTCTGACATTTCAAACTCCTCACTCAGGTCATGTCTGAAATCTTCGATCTCCTTCTTGCAACTCCCTGTTATCAACAAATCATCAACATAGAGACATAGTATAAGCAATTCGCCATTGCTTCTTCTTACATATACTCCATGCTCAGTTGTACACTTCACAAATTCCTTCTCCCTTAAGAAGCTGTCTATTTTCTTATTCCAAGCTCTTGGAGCTTGCTTAAGTCCATACAGGGCTTTATGAAGCCTGTACACCTTTCTTTCTTCGCCTTGTTTCACAAACCCAGCTGGTTGTGCAACATAAACTTCTTCGTCTAAAGGGCCATTAAGGAATGCACACTTCACGTCCATCTGACATGTGTGCCAGTTGTTCATATTTGCTAGACCAACAACCAACCTGATTGTTTCAATTCTAGCAACAGGTGCGAATACTTCATCGAAGTCGATTCCTTCCTTCTGAAGAAATCCTTTCGCCACAAGTCTCGCCTTGTGTCGAGTTACTTCTCCTTTAGGATTTACCTTTACCTTATAAACCCACTTCACATCAATTGCCTTCTTGCCTTGTGGCAATTCGACAAGTGACCAGGTGTCGCTACTACGAAAATCGGCGCCGAGTATGACAGAAGAGTCGCCACCGTGCGTTATTTATCCCAGCGGAGGGAAAGAAAACGCTCAGAGTAAACCTAACGCAAAACGGGAAAGGAATGGTCATCGCAACCAAATTCCTGGATTCGGGAGTCGATTACGCAAGGGGAAGGTATTAACACCCCTCACGTCCGTCGTACTCGACGGGATCCACGCTTGTTTTTCTGGTACGAATTATTATTCTATCTACACTAAAGGTCTGGGTTAAAAGAAAATAAAATGACTCGGAAAAGTATCGCACTTTATGCCTACGTATTCCCGTCTGGAATGAGAAATCAGAGTCAACGTAGTTCGCCTAGCTACGGGAAAGGTGGGAAGGTTGCTCTCTAGGATACGGCATCATATGCCTACGTACTTTCATACAGCATGAAAGATCAGAGCAAACGTAGTTCGGGCTACGGAAGACACAAACTTGTCTGACTATTTTTTATTATCTTATGAAAGGGTTTTTCTTGATTAAGAGTCCAAGCGGACAAAAATGACACTTTGATGTTTGTTTTGAATCTTTTACGAAAGAAGTGTTTTTTAGTTTGTTTGCAATCTCTGACGCACTAGAGACTATGATTTGAGAGTGACTACATCGCGTGGCACCCAAAGGGTACCACACTAAGCAGCCAGACTACTGGAAAGAAGCTCTCCAGCAACGCTTTCTCAAATAGCTTAAGGCTCGTAACATACGACCTTGATTAACCTTATTACTGTATTTTTGAGTGGGTTTGAGATAAGAAGAGAAAAAAGCTCTAAAAAAGCCTAGGGTTGAAAAGGGAATAAAACTAACCTAATGTTGTCATGCATGGATAAGAATCCTAATGTCTGTCATAATTCCCTCCTGCATAGAGGAACTCAGAGATCCTAGGGGATAAACAGAAAAGAAAGCAAGCAAATACAGTAAAATGCATGCAATGCAGCAATACAA